TTCATGTTGTCTGCTTTGACTGTGGTTTGAATGAATGAGAGGGTGTATGGGTTTGCCTTGTACGTGTGGTATCTGATTATGGGGGAATAAGAACTCACAAATACCGTTTGAGCAAACATTGTACTGTGATGAAAATGTAAATCCAGGAAATGTGGAAATGATCTGAAAATTATCAGAGGATTGATGGAAAATGTTATTTTGATAACCGCTGACGTGTCACAAATGTACTATGGCTTCGATGATGCACAGAGCGGTGGAGAGAAAGAAAGGGTTGAAGACGTGAAACAGAGAGCGAGCACAGCCTGGCTCAAAAACCCAAACAACAGCTGCTGTGCTCTGAGCTAATAAGGTCTTGAGGCCTGAAGGTAACTGAACCAGAACATAAGATGAAAAATTAACTCCTTGATATAAAATGGTCATTACAGTGGACAGGTTCTCAAAATTGTAATTTATTTATTTGTTTTATTTATTTATTTATTTATTTATGTATGTTTTGCTATTAAGCACAGCCGTTGAAGACTTTATTGCATTTGAGCCTCTCCATGTGGACTTCAGTAAGTCCAGCCAACATATTTCATGTTCAGAATACACGCTGTCCACTGTGGTGGACATGTAGTAATGTTACAAAAAATATTTGTTGAAATTTGTTTCATTCGCACCTAAAGATGAACGAGAATAAAGCCTGGTTCATGCTTCTCTGTCAGCTCCCCAAGGGACAGACACACAGGGATTGACGGAAGCGTTTTGCTCTCATACTTCTCCGTCTCCTGGAGAGTGTTGCAAAGCAATTCCCCGGCAGGACAACAGAGGGCGTAGCGCTGTTCTGTGGTATCCTGTCATGTATCGGTCCATAATAGTGTGTTTATATTATGTTTTTTTTTTGTATATAAGAGACTTTTTAACACAGACAAATTTGTTCCTCATTCTCCTCCACCTCTTCATGCGCTCGCCACCTCTAAACCCACGTTTCCTGTCATTTCCGTCCACAAATAAAATGCTTGCGGCGCATCTTTTCACTCCTCCAGTCACGGGGGAATTAAACGTTCATGTTTTTAGAGTTTTTTCGCGAGGTATTCTTCAAGCTGTTCCGTGTCTGCCGCTTGTTATCCTCAGCTCTCTTCATGTTTTTGAGGGCGCAATGGCGGCGCTGTAGACAACAGCGGCGTCCTGACCAATCACAAGCTTGCGTTGTCCGTCTCGACTGACGGATGTTTAGAAAAGAGAGCTCAACTCCGTCCGTCCTTGCGGAGCTCTCTGGCAGGCCCGCAAGGACGTTGCGTGTCTCCGCACTGACGCAGACGGAGAAGCATGAATCAGGCTTGATTGTTAAACAATCATGATTTGAGGCAAGTGCGCAGGGCAAATGCCCCGAACATCTGGTCACAGAGTTTATTTATACAAAGAGATAAGAAAAGAATGGGAGTGGATCATGTGTGAGTGTGTGTGTTTGTGTGTGTGTGTGTGTGTGTGTGTGTGTGTGTGTGTGTGTGTGTGTGTGTGTGTGTGTGTGTGTGTGTGTGTGTGTGTGTGTGTGTGAATGCTTTCAGGACATTCAGTTAATAGATTTGTTAATAGGACTAAAGTAATGAAATATAAAATTTCCATAACATGATGGGAGTACAGTGTTGGGGAAGACAGCTAATCTGTAAAACTGACTGACTAAAAAACATGCTTGAGTTTTATTTAGTCAGTTAGCTGTAGTTGCTGCTATATCAGCTGACTGCAAACGGTAATCAGTTACACCTAGATCTAACGATTACTTAGCAAAAGCTTCATTATAATCCATCCAGTTGTCTATGAGACACATTGCTAACAGACACACAGAATTTACCCCAGCAGTTATTGGGAAAGTTTGAAAAAAGATCCAGAGTGACCATTTAGTGCTTGGAGTATGAGAAAAGGTTACTCTTAGCTATTATTGTATCACATTTTAGCACTAAATCTGCACAACTGGTTGAGGTTTAGTCTTTTTGTGATTGCTGATGTCAATTAAAGGTAAATGATCATCAGTGGAGATATTCTGTGAGTAGCAACCCGAACGTTGTTTAGTAATAACAATAAACAAGTTTTACTCATATTTTTTACAAGTTGCCTTTCACTCTTTCTACAGGTCCTGGGTCAGAGCTGCTACGGCAGGCTCTGGTAACAGTAATAGCTCAATCTTTGTGCGCCAGTCCCGCAGTCTATGGTGAACACATTACCCCTCGGATGATCTGTGCAGGCAGCATGGGCGGGGGAGTTGACTCCTGCCAGGTATGTGACTAAATGTCCTTAAAAAACCCAAAAGTTTTCTTTGTGATCCACTGTGAGATGGAATTTCTCTGTAAAGTTTAAAATGTTGTGTTCTGATGTTTGGTTGTGATTTAAGGGGGACAGCGGTGGACCCCTGCTGTGTCAGACCTCTAATAAGGACTGGAGGCTGGCAGGCCTGGTGAGCTGGGGGGACGGATGTGCACGGCCCGAGAAACCAGGAGTCTACACCAGAGTCACTCGAATGCTTGAATGGGTGGAAGGATACACGAAGGAAGCGTAACAATCAGCAATATTCATGTAAAACTCTTTGTCAGCCCGAAAAATCCTTTTAAGGTGGTGTTTGACGTTTTTCCTTTAAACCGTGTGAGTAAACGGAAGAGCACTTTGACATGTTGAAGAGGCGGATATGGGTCAGACTTTATTTCAGGGCTTGTCCTGTCAACAAAACTAAAAATAAAACTTTAGTTTTGGCTGAAGATCAAAACCTCCTCAATGCTGCATAAGCAACTTTTGTCACAAATAAAACAAAAAACACTCTTTAAAGGTGTGGAACACTGGAAAAAAAATATGATTATTTCTGATTATAATCGTTTTTTCATGCAGGCTGAACATGAATAGTCTCCTACACCATCTCCTGCGTTAGCTTCGGATAGAAAACAGACGGTGAAACTCTAGAATTTGAAAACTCCGACAGATCTACATCACACTGTCACTTAACGATCGTGGACTCTTGAGTCACGACGGGGACGACCGTTGTTGATTTAGCGTCCAGGAAACGTCAGAGAATGTCTCCGCTAGCAGAAGCCAATTATTAGCATTAGCAACTCAACCACACGGCAGAAGCTCCTCCAGGCTTGTCGTATTTGTGGAGGTAAAACATCAACGTCACAGAGCGTTAGAGTCACGTTTCTGTTACCCAATCCAAAACGAGATGTCCAAAAATCAGGAAGTCCAAATCCTGTTGTGTTCTGCCACTCTCTGCTCCAGCAGACTCCTCCATGCTGATCCAGGCTCTTGTGTTTTTATTACCTCTGAGTATGGCTTACAAGGCATTCATACCTACTAGCGACCTCTGCAAATGTATTGTATTGATTTAACGAACGATCCACACCTTTAAGGTTGTAGCAAGAACATGAAACAAATACATAAATTGATAGGTATTTTCTGTATTTAATGTACCTTTTTGAGGCCTAAAAAATGTTGCAGGACATGATAAGTATTTGTTTAAACGAAAGGTCATCGATCTTCTTTGATCACATTTTAGAGTGGTGAAGAATGGCCTCTGTGATCACTTCCTGAGACAAGATGAAGGTCCAACAATATGTGTTGATTAAGTTACCCTGTTCAGCTGATTCTAAAGAATGTTGATTAAGTTACCGGTCAGCTGAAGAAATTGTGTAAACTTCTGGGTGTGTCTTCCTAAATAAAAGGAGCTCTAAGGCTTTGCCTGGTGTGAGCAAACTGCCATTGTGTCTGGTGTGTTTGATTCTCACCCTCTGCAAAGTATTTTCCCTTTGCAGAGTATTTAGATGTTGTATGTTTAAGGGTTGTTTACAATTTACCAAATTATCTACACTCTCTCTCTGCATGTGTGTCGTCCTTTAAGGTAATATGGGATAAACGAATGTACCACGCAGAGGAGAGTAAGTACTTACAGTGTAAAATGAGCTCCTCTTTGTATTTGGTGTGTTTATTTCAGGTAAAGGGTTATGGAGAAAGTAAAAATTGCCCAACATTTTAATTACCCAACATAAATAACATTTTTTGACATCATGAATTTATCAGAGGATACTTTATTATTACATTTAGAATATTTAGAAAAATGGGATGTACATTATAAAAGTTGCACAATACTGTTGTGCTTCTGTTTTGAGAGTATTTTTATTTTTTGTGTTTTACAGGAAAGTATACAGACATAAATGAGACCTCATCAGCATTTGTTTCCTAGCAGAGATAACAAATAATAAAGATAAACATATATCTGCATTTCTAGGTTGATGTGTTATCTCAGAGCAGAATTCTGTGTTAACGTGAATTTCTAAGGAAGGTCAAGAAACTGTAGGGGGAAAGAAACGTGTTCTTGATCAGCTTACATTTTTTTCATTTGAACAATTCAATTTACTCAAAAGACAGCATTAATAAAGGTTTGAATGAGCCATGGTTGAATTGTGAAATGACTTAATTGGAAGTTTGGTTTAAACTATTTCTATGTCAGCTTCAGAGATAGAGAACTTTATGACAAAGAATAAAGGTTGTTCTGATAACCAGCTGATAATAAAATAACACTTTTTTGGATATCGCAGCGTTTGTCTTTTGTTCCCTTATGATAAGATATCTGTCATTATAAAAATGTCACCCAGAGTTATATAACATAGCAGAAATTTTTCTTGAACATCCAAGTTGTGGAAACCAATTTTGACAATTATCTGTATTACGTTTAAAATCTTGAGTTGAGCATCAGTATCCTTTTTCAAAAAGAGGGATTGTGTGATTGATCATTTTAATGAATGAATGGATATATTTCGATTTTGCGTTATAACAGTGTTGCTGTTGTACAATTACAGGTTGTGAAATAGATCAGTCGAAATTGGAATGGATTGAAGCTGTAGCGTTATGAATATTATAATTGTCTGCCCTTAACAGCTGCCCCTTCACACAGTAACATCGCCAAGGTCGGACGCTTGTTTCAGTATGTTTACATTCCAGGAGAAGAGAAGAAGAACGCTTTCCATTAATTAATCAAAGTACTTTATTTGTGATAAGCTAATCAAAGCATATGTTGATCATTAATAATCAGGTGAATGATCTGTGAAATAAAGATGTCATGAGTTATGTGTTTAATGAATAAACAGGACTGCACCAGACAGACTGATCTACATTACCATGGAAACGCATGACACATTGTTTTCAACCAATCAGAACTTTCGTCTGTCGTAGGGCAGAATCTGGCTTGTTTAATGAAAGTTGTCCAATTTTTTTTTTAATCTTTACTAATCACAATTCCTTATGGGTACATTAACATGAAAGTGATTTCTAACTACTGATTTACATTTTAGTACTGATTTACATTTCTATTTTGTTATAGTATCTTTGACAAGTTGATTTGATAGTGATTGTTATGATTATCAACGTTGATTTATCTTACAGGGCTATAACCAATTTTTGCCCCTATCCTGACAGCGTGTATTTCCAGTGAGGATTCACTGATACCAGTTAGGGTTCTTTCCTTGTCTGCTTTTCGCATAATCCTTTTTGCATCTCACACAGAGAGGGCTGCATCCATTTCTTCACTTAATGGGTAATTCACATAAAACTTACACATAGTACAACAGGTACTCATAGTGTTAGGTTTTTATTTCTTTGATGACATGAAACGCAATTTTGTTGTGTCTACATTGAAGTGCCTGCACTGTGCTCTCTCTCCTCTGCTGAGCTCGTGAGGATCCTGCTTCCTGGGGGTGGATCCGTGACTCGTCATCTGCATCGACTACTCCTGGGTGGTGCTCCGGCTCGTTAGGCCTTGGATGACCGTGGTTCCGGCATGGCTTATTTTGTCCATTTTAAGATGTTTCTGATTACATTACTATAATATTATTATAAATTTGAGTGTTTGTTGACATTATTTCAAAATTGCACGTTTTTACAGCTGATTCCAACCGGAAAGTGTATTGTGATAATTTTGGTAAAGATTTACTTTAATCCAGCTGTGTATTATTAAATTATGTAATAATAAGGAAAATAAATACTTGATTACGCTTTTTTGTAGCAAGAATAGGTGGGCGGGGTTGTTTTGTGGCACCACACAGCAGGGTTTAAATTAGTGGTGTGCATCTCCACCTGCCTCATGATTCGATCCGATTCCGATTATCTGCCTAAAGATTCGATTTGAGTTTGAAATGCATCACGATTCTTCACACAAAAGTTTTCATTGGGTTAGGATTAGGGTTAGGGACACAACAAAGCTAGCAGATGTTTTTGAGTAGGCTAAATTTCACGATGCTTTCGGGTGCGGCAAAACGTAAAAAGAAAATAAAATGAAGAGGAACAAATGAAGAGACGGGGGGGGGGCTTTAACGAAATTTCTGTCGGGCTGCTCGGGCAGCCGTCCGACAGCTGTGAACCTGCTCGAGTCAGCAGAGCCAGAGGCTGGGCCCAAGCCAGACCCGGAGGAGACACGACCCGAAGACGCGGTGGAAGATGCGGCGGGAAAAGCGGCGGAAGACGCTGTAGCGCCAACGCCGTCAACATCAACTCCGTCACAGAAGGACGAACTGGAAGAACAGCAGCCAGCCAGTGAGCCCAATATAGTCTTACAGGAGCCTCTAGACCCAGAAAGGGTGTTAACAAGCTACCCATCTGATCCTACAAAGTGGTACCAAATTGATGACAGGATGCATGAGTACTTTGCACTAAACCATCTCTCTCAAAATATTGGATATTCCTCTGCATCACAGAGGAAATATGGAGACATAACCCGAAGCTTAACCAAGGAACATTCCTTTAGACGTGTTTCTGCTGTGATTGAGGCCCTGTGATGCTGGAAAGCTGAAGATTATCCCGGAATGGAGCATGCTAAATGGTTTCCTTGGTAAGTGTTGCTGGTTTCATTAATTATTTTAAAATATTTGTATCAATAGCATAACAAACAATAAGTTCACACAGAAAATTCACACAGAATTTCTGATTCAGCAGAGGCAATAACAGCCTGAATGAACATAAAGCAAGATCAAAACTTAAGATTATGTTTACATTTTATTAAAATACTTTCTTTTAAGATTATAGATTGTATAAAATTTATATGGTTATAATTTAGGCTGCATGTTTATAGTTTGTTTTTGCGCCTTTAAAACATGCTTCAGTCCATTCAAATTAATCGATTTATTCTTGAATGTCTTTCCACCATCATGTGATTAATTTGTCAACATTTATAAATGTTGTAAGCTATTGTATTTTGCAGAAAATCTTCTTAATTAAATGTAGTGATTAAATGTAAACAGAGCAAAGAAGAGAAACATATTTGCTCTGTTTACATAGTTAAATGACACCTAGTGGTTATTTACTGGTATTACCGCCTTGACAGTGACACTCCCAATAGATAAGATGAGAATAATTTATTGGCATTTAATACAGCTGTGTCATGACGTATAAATTATTAATATCAAAAAAATTGTCTGATAGAATGTTTAACATACAACACATGACTTCTTTTGGCATACAAACAACCAATTTGTAAACAACGACTAGGCTATTGTAAAATGTGAATGAAATTTTATAAATAACTTTGGTAAGTTTCAGATTTCAATTCATTAAATAATATCGATGGGGGGGGGGGGCAAAATGCAGCCTGCCTAGTGCAGTCCATTCATTTAATCCGGCTCTGTATATATACAATAAAGAGATGATATATTTATAAGTGATTATATACAGGGACTGAAACAGCCTGCACACTTGTCACGTACGTCACCGGTCTCGTGCGCGAGCTTGGGTATTGGCTGCGCGCGACAGCTTGTGTTTATAACCCACCTTAGAGGACTCCGGCAGCATAGGAAGTGCTAGCTTAGTGGAGTGAACTGAACAAACCTATATTTTGATGCGTAACTATAAAAACTTCGGGTCAGGGGGACAATAACAGTAATTTTGAACCCGACTAACACCTGGAGTGCCTCCTCAAGAGGGTCAACTAGCTAACTCACTGCCTTTCTCTGGCGCTGTTCAGTCGGTTTCAGACCTAGCTAGCACCGCTTCAGACTACAAACAACAATGTGCTCTGTGATACGCAGAGTTAAACCTATCCAGCGGGTAACGGCTCTATCTCTACGTCCTCGGGGACACACAAAAGAGTCGAGTTATGCTGCAGCCCAAGACAGAAGCTCATCTCCCGGTGTAGGTTCCTTCGCTGCACCGCTATGTGGTAACGCCAGGTCCTGCTGCTCCATGGTGGCTAAAACCAAAGGACTGCTCTTCAGACAGGTAGGTTCACGTAATATCAACTGTCCGGTTTAATGTGTCAAGAAGACTTTCTAATAATGTTTTACCTTTTACTTTCGTTAACTGTTGTAGGAAGTGGGGTTTTAGCTGTTGGCATGTCACCCTTAACTGTCATTCATTGTTATATTATTAAAGTCCAGCCTATCTATGTTATTGTGTTTATTTTGGTGGATTTTTTGGTCAACATTCTCTTTAGATGCCTCCATTGTAAATCAGCGACGTGTTCAGTCGTATTGTTGACAGGAGGGAGACTGAATCATGATGACTTTGCAGTACCGTAATGGCACGTAGTTTGTGCAATGTAATCATTTTACATATAATAACGTTTCTCTTACACCTGCAGCAGATGAGATAACCATTCAGCCGTGTAATATTCTCGATAATTATCTGCTGTTTTTAGCTTCTGATTCTGGATCATTTGCAGATCCATATTCCACATAAGACCCCTGGGTTTGTCCAAATGCTCAAAAGCTTTATGACAACTTGTTAGTTGGATTTAGCATGAGGTAACGACAGGCAACGCTAACACAAGATACTTTTTAAAGCACAGATTCTGTTTTCTAAACAAGTCAATCCACTTGATAATCTAGTACCTCTTTCTTTCTGTCACACACAAACACAATAAAATGCCATCTAAGGAGCGTGATGATGAGGACGTGAAGTACGTGACCCTGTATTGCATGCTAAATGTTATTTATTGCAGAGCCACACCTCCACTCACTTATTTTTCCTGTTCAGATGTTCGAGGGGGAGAGTTGCACCTACACCTATCTGCTTGCAGACACAGAAACCAGGGAGGCGATCATCATTGATCCGGTGCTGGAGACCATTGACAGAGACCTGCGTCTCATACAGGAGTTGGATCTGAAACTAATAGTAGCAGGTATCTTAAGTTTTTATAGCTTGGCTATTAAACATGAGTTGTGACTAGTGTTGTCAAAAAAATCGATACCTAGATATAAATCGATACTAAAAGTGGTATCTAAATTAGATATTCCATTCCTGTGGTATCGATATTATGGACTATTATACACAGCCTTCTTCAAGTACACCGACACGCATGACAGCCAGATGCCGTAAAGCAACCTCCGCCTCCCAGACAAACAGAAGAAGAAGACGCCGCATGGCTACATTGCAATTTCCCACGCAAGTTGTCTCCGATCCAAGTTTTGTCTGCCAAATAAATAAACAAAAACATAAACATCGAATTTGGGAGGCGCTTCACAGCCCAACTTAATTAGCATACCAAGTCCGACATGTAGTTGTAAATTCACGCTTATGTGCTTAAAGGAAACTCCCGTTTATTGCAACCCGGACTTAATTTCTAGCATGCAGTATGTTTGTGTACTCACGCCGACAACTTTGGTGCTACTTGGATTCCCCGGGGTATTTAGATCCATTGGCGAATCGCCGTCAGCGTATATCCATATAACGGGTGCGGACGGGCACCCATGGTGCAGCCTCGAAATAAGACATTATCTGCACCAAAACATCTCAATGTCTAAAGGTTTTGTTAGGAATCATTAACATGATTCCCCTGTTCGTTTGGAGTGAGTCTGGGATTTCTAGGTGTGAACAGACTAGCTGCGGCTAATTAACCGGCGCTTTTAATGACGTCACTGCCGTGCGCCAGTCTGTTTTTATTAAGATTACCGGTAGATGTACCTTTGTCCTACTGTGGAGAAATTCGTTTTCTCACTTTATTGACCAACAGAGCTGTTCAAAAGTACAGAACAAAACATATGGCATTACAGCTTATGACAAAAATGCAACTTAAACAGAGTTTAAGCAGCAAAACATCACTCTGCAAATAGTGTATATATAGTGAGACAATTCATGGTTAAAGTGTTAACTTTTGCCAGTTTTTGTATGCACGTTTTAAAAAATGCTGATACTTGAAAGGTTTAAGCACTTTACACACTTAATTCTTAACATTTAATTTTTTGCAATATAAATTGAGGAATGTTTTTTTTTATAAACTTGTTCAATAAATTGGTGTTTTTAAATAGTATCAAAATCGAGTATCGAGTATTTTTTCAAGTATCGAATCAAGTTTGAAATTTTAGTATCGTGACAACCCCAGTTGTGACCATAAACTTGAGCAACTTCGGAAAATAATTCTGATCCATCTGTGAGATGTTTGTACGCATTGTTCATAAATAAAGTGTTCTCCATTACAGTAAATATTAAAAATGTAGTAACCCAGATTGATGCTGTTGCAATAAGATTCCCCTCTAAAGGTGAAGTGAATAACTTCCTGTTTTCATTTCCATAAAAATCTGTGCTTTATTCCTTTTTTCTGGTAGTAAACACTCACTGCCATGCAGACCACATAACCAGCTCTGGGTTGATGAAGAAAAGACTGGTTGGGCTGAAAAGTGCTATCTCCAGATTCAGCGGTGCATCTGCAGATATCCAGTTAGCAGAAGGGGATAAGATCAAATTTGGAAAACATGTAAGAAGAAAATATGCTTTTTGCATATTTTATTGGTAAAATTATTTTGATTTTAAAAAGTTTCCAGTTTTTGTACACGTATACGTGGATGCTTTGTTATTTTTGCTACATTTAATTAAAATAGATCTACCTTGAACTGACTTTTATCCATTCTTGTTTCTAGTATTTGACTGTAAATAACACTCCAGGACACACTGATGGATGCACAACCTTGGTGTTTGGAGATCAGAGCATGGCTTTCACTGGAGACTCTCTGCTCATTAGAGGCTGTGGCAGAACAGATTTCCAGCAGGGTATGTGCATGTTGTACATGTTTCTACTTGTCCTTGTTTTTATGACGTTTTTATTCCTTGGATCAACTTTTCCCGATGCCAGTCCTCGGGGTGTGGTGCCCTGTATATTTTGGATTCTCCGGCACACCTGATTCACAGGACTAAATCACCCCAACAGCATTTTGTGGTGTCTGTCTGATAATGACTCACCTTACTGTCATCTTCTCTTGCATTTATGGTGGTTCATTTTAATTGGTGCAGCTTTTAGAGTTTATATGGTAAAGGGGAGGAGTTACCTGGCTTCTCCAGTTCAGAGAGAGGTGGCAACTTGTATAACCCAGAGATAACAAAACCATAATAGTAAAGATAATGGATATGACTGGAAATAAAACAAACTGAATATATTTGAGCAGCCATCTTTTGCCACAATCTGAACTGAGATAAATGAATCTAGCTTTATAGATCTTCTAGAATGCATCACACATGGAATAAACTAACTCAGGAGATGTTTTCGTGCATGACTGCAGTCTTTGCTGTGATTGATAAGCATATTAGCATTAATGTATATTATTTTATTAAAAAAACAGGAATACAATTATTGTTACAAGTACCGTATTTTCACGACCATAAGGCGCACCTAAAAGTCTTAAATTTTCTCAAATGTACGCCGCGCCCTATGGTGCGGTGCGCCTATTGTGTTGTTGTGAGATGTGAACGTAGTAGAAGACAAGGGGCGTGGCGTGAACTTGCGGACGTGAGCGAAGACAGACCTGTGGATCTGCCACATCGTCATCAACTTCCTCGCTGTTTGCCTCAGACTCCGGCTGCGAGTCTCCGTCCACTTCCTCTGCTTCCAGTTCAAAAAACAGCCGTACTATCTGAACTGCCTGGTGGACATTTATCCTTCTCATCATCCTTTATTAAAGCCTAATAAAAGCCTACTAAACTGCAGCGACAATATGTCTGTCCGGATCGCTCCAAAATATGAAGTTTACCGTCAATATCTGTCTAATTGTTTGTTGTTACTCCGTTCGCGCCACTCCTTTCCCTGGGAAGCGGCTCCTTTTTGCGCACATCTCGTTACTCGTGCAGCCCTCCTCTCTCTCAGCTACATAATGATACTTTTTATCAATTGAATATGTGAGACGTCCACCAACAGCAAAATGATCTCATGTTTTTGTGTTTTTCTTTAATGTTCACAAGCTCATTCCCTCTCACATTTTACTAAACTGCTGTTTTGACAAGTTATCAGATTGTCTAAAAATAGGTAGTGTTTTAGTTTAGCATAACTCCGCTTTTACGTTGCCTATTAACATAATTTAACAACTGGGGTGTAGTTTATAATCTCCTTTTTAAAGCTGAATTGAAACCGAAACTCAGGGAGGCGGAGTCTTGCTGCTACAGCGTCCCAAATCAGACCTGTTCAAAAGACGTGGATACGCAGCCATGTACCCCAGAGGGTTAATAAACACAATTCAAATCACACTATTTTCTTAGGCCTAATAACACACATGATTTTGTTCATGTCGAAAGTTTATGTGGTTAAATCCAACAACTACCGGTAAACACATTCTGAACTTCAACACAGCGCATCAGCGCTTGAAGCGGCGCTGCGACCCAAAAAGTATCAGAACCGCTCTCAGCGCATGCGCAATCATGCATCAACACTGCTCGCCCGCAATTTCCCTAATAACACACGCTGTTCGTTTTTATCTCTACACGTTTTTTTACTCACAAATATTGTCAAGAAAGCGTGCTTGTCGTGTTCATGTCAAATTAAACTGATCACAAAGCACAGATTTACTTCATTTCGTTTTCCTCATCCAACCCCCATAAATCCCTGCGTGTCCTCCTGCAGCACTCCCGGTGTACGCCCGGCTTTAGTACGAGGGAGACCCGCGATTATCGCTTTGTCGCGCATGTCTCATTGAAAATGAATGGAGGAGAGGCGAAGTTGCCTCCGGTGTGTCGAGCCCATTAGAAGAGCACGAGCCGTCAGCGCACGCAATGAGGAAGTGCACGTGCGCTCTAAACCAGGTCTGAACCAGGACTAGACCAGTAAAGTGAAGCATGCTTTTGGCTGTTTATAATTTTCACAATGTCTGGTTTGCACTGATCTGTTCCGAGTCCCGAGCCCGCACAGATGTTTTACCGGTACGTTTTACTGCGCCCTATAACACGGTGCGCCTTTTGTAGCTGTTAAATACCAAAAAGACACCGGTAACTGAAGCTGCGCCCTATAACACGGTGCGCCCTATGGTCGTGAAAATACAGTATTGTAGAACCTTTTCCTAAGAAAAATGCATGTTAGTGGATCTTGTAGTTTTTTCTGCATATCTTTGATCTAACGGGGGCAGAACAAGGAGCCCCAAAGATCAGTGAAGCAGTGGGAAATGGCCACGAAAAATGTTTTTTCATCCTTGTAATGAGTAAATAAACACAACATGGCGGTATTAGGTTAGTCGTCTATAACTGCATAGTCTTGTTTCTCAGTTGGAAGAAATTGACAGACTTTTTAAGCGTCAAACAATTTTGTGAAACTTTTTTTTCTTTTGTAATTTTTGACTTGTGTGTTTTTGCATGATGTTACCCTAAATCCTGTAAAACATCAAATGTACAGTTTTCTAATTTTGCCTCCATGTTTCCAGGCTGTGCTAGTCGGCTCTATGAGTCGATCCACACGAAGATCTTCACGTTGCCTGATGAGTGCCTCGTCTATCCAGCTCATGATTATTTAGGTTAGTGGAAAATTTACACACTTCAAAGGATAAAAAAAACCTCTTAGATACAGTGGGGAACAGAAGCATTTTAACTCCATGTGATTTTGCCAGTTCTCCCTCTTAGAAATCATGGAGGGATCTGAAATTTAACATTGTAGGTGCATTCCTACTGAGAGAGAATGCATTTTTTTTATATAATTTTTTTGTATTGCACTGCTGCACATAAGTATTTGAACACCTGAGAAAATCAGTGTTAGTAGTTGTTTACATTTAGAGAGAGGTCAGATGTTTCCTGTAGTTCTTGACCAGGTTTGCTGCACTGTAGCAGGTATTTTGGCCCACTCCTCCACACAGAACCCCTCTAGGTCTGTCAGGTTTTGGGGCTGTTGCTGAGCAACATGGAGTTTCAGCTCCCTCAAGTTTTTCTGTTGGATTTAGGTGTGGAGTCTGGCTAGGCCTCTCCAGAACCTTGACATGCTTCAAAAGGAGCAACTCCTTGGTTATCCTGGCTGTGCGCTTCTGGTCATTGTCATGTTGGAAGAGCCAGCCACAACCCATCTTCAGTGCTCTGACTGAAGGAAGAAGGTTGTTACTCATGACTCTATTCATCCTTTCCTTAATGCAGTGCGATCGTCCTGTCCCCTTTGCAGAAGCACCCCCAAAGCATGATGTTTCCACCTCTATGCTTCACTATAGGGATGCAACTCATCCTTATTTTTCCTCCAAACACAGTGAGTGGAGTTTATAGCAAAGGGTTCTATTTTAGTCTCGTCTGACCACATGACTTTCTCCCATTCCTCCACTGGATCACCCAGATGGTTGTTGGGAAACCTCAGACGGGCTTGGACATGTGAAGATTTGAGCAGGGCAACCTTCGGTGTGATGCGTGATTTAAAACCATGTCAGTGTCATGTTTTACTGACGGTAAAAACCTGTTGTCCCAGCTCTCTTCATGTCATTGACCAGCACCCCCCATGTGGTTCTGGGCTGGTTCCTCACCTTTATTACCATCAGTGATATCCCACCAGGTGAGATCTTGCATGGAGCGATCATCTGAGGGAGGGTGTTGTCTCTAACGATTGCTCCAACAGTTGATCTATTTTCACCAATCTGCTTGGCGATTGCCCCGTAGCCCTTTCCAGTCTAGTGGAGGTGCAGTTTAGTCTCTGGTGTCTTTTGACACCTCTTTGGTCTAGCCCATGGTAATGGCTGGAGTCTGATTGTGGGGTGGACAGGCGTCTTTAACAAGCTCAGACAGGCGTTACTAATTTAAATTAACTCGTTCACTGCCGTTGATGATTAAAGTCATCATTTGCATTTTTTTACTGTGTGGGTGTCAGAACGAGCCCCCGCACCGTGAGAACAAACATCCCAGCTCTAAAGCAGATCTTAAGCCACGTACGTCACACGTCGCGTGATCAGGAAGCAGAAAATCCATGTGTTAGGAGGTCGTTTTGGGCCGCTGCTGTAAAAAAAAAAAAAAAAAAAGTGCGGCGCAAACCGGAAAAGCTTCTGCCGATCACAATTCGACAACGGATTATGAAAGAACGGATAACGCTCGAAACACACGGATTCTTCCTGATGTGAGAGGCGAGTCTCATCTTTGTTTTGGCGTTGGCTTCGTCATAGAGCGCAACGTTTTGTGACTCTTAAAAAAAAAAACGGTGAAATGCTGAAAAACGCTGGCAGCAAGGGTTTTTCTGATCAGGAAACAGCTGGCAGTTAATTACTTAACAAGACTAGAAGTGGACATTTAAAGGCAGAGGAACAAGTCGTTGAGAGCCAGAATCCATGTTGATTCTCAGGTGTTCAAATACTTATGTGCAGCAGTGGATTACAAATAAACTCTTAAAAAATACCACAATGTGATTTCCTGATTTTTTTCAAGCCATCTCTCAGAGTGGGAATGCACCTACAATGTGGACTTCAGACCCCTTTATGATTTCTAAGTGTGAGAACTTGCAAGATCGCAGGATTCTTCTGTTCCTCGCTGAATGTTTTTACTCCGCACCATGTGTTAAATGTTTTAATCGGTTTAAGATGTTCTCGTAAAACTCCAAAAGCACAAAGACCAGTCGTCATATTGACCTTTGTGGTTTTTGTATTTTTAGGCCAGACGGTTTCCACAGTTGGTGAGGAACGCAGGTTCAACCCTCGATTGACCAAGACCAAGGAAGAGTTTGTGAAGCTCATGAACAACCTGAATCTCCCCAAGCCGAAAAAAATAGGTAATGAAGCAATTTTATAATTCAACCCACCTGTTAGCTCTGCAAGTTATTTGGCCAATAAAATGGCGAGCCTTAAACACGTCGTTGCACAAATTTACTCCAGAAGTTCCCTAAATGCACTTTTTCTTTCTCTGCAGACATTTCCGTTCCTGCTAATCTGGTTTGTGGATTACATGAAGGTTGAATGCTGCATAAAAAATCTGATTTAATGGGAGGAATTAACTTTTATGTTTTTAACAAGATGCACCCAAACGGCTCACTATGAAGAGCTTTCTTTGTTTGTCGCAAGTAACATTTTTGCCATGGTCAGATCTGAGCTTTGAAGGTATTTTTGCATAAAATATTAAAAAATAAATTTCTAATTTTGTAATAAAACTGAATAATAACTGTTCTGTGTATATAAATGTAAAAACATACCAATCGTTTGTATTGTTGAATGAAATGTATTATTTTCTCTGTACAGTTGGTATTATGAATGATTGGCAGCATGGTGGGGTAGTGGTAAGCATCGTCACTTTAGCATCAAACCTGCTTTAATCAGCCTGTGGGCTTTTTTCAGGGAGGTGGGACGCTGCATTTCTAGCGTCCCTGTTCTGAAAACCATCATGATTGTTTTTAACGTGTGATAAATGGTTTAGCCTGAATGTGTCAAATCTGATCTGTGTAACGAGTCAGTAACTGATGCCAATCTACATGTTGGCTTTCAGTCCTGTAATGTGCTGCTTTAATGATCCAAGTAGAGGATGCAGTCCTCATTCAGCCACAGAAACCTGCAGATGTGATTAAAACTGAACTTGTACAGCAAGTGTCCAAATAAAACCGATTTCAAGCAAACTTATTGTTTGTGCCTTGATTTAAATGACCAATTCTCTGCTGCTATGCAACAAATGAAAAAAGGTCCTTGTTCAAATAAAGCACTTCCTCTTGCAGTTTGACTGTTTTAATGGAACTATGCGTAAGTCTTAAGCTAAATCTTTTATGTTTTCAAGTTTAGAGTAACAACTTGGAGGTGTGTGGTTTTGTAGACATTTACTGTTTTGTAAACATTTTTAGTCCAGAATTTGGACTTAACTACTTTCACATACAGGTAAAACTTGAAAAATAAGAATATGATGCAAAAATCGATTCATTTCAGTAATCCAGTTTAGACTGCGAGACCATTGAAAGGCTCAGGAACACTGCAGATGTTCTGGATTCATTAGCTGATTAGAGACCACTTTGATTCTAGAATGTTGAACATTTTCACAATATAATAGAGATTTTGAATGTGGGGTATTCATCAGCGGTAAGCCATGGTCATCACCATTAGGAAAAATAAAGGGTAAAATCTCTGGCTTTGCATGTAATGAGTCTTATGTCAAATATTAGTTTCACCTTTTAAGTTGAGTTACTGAAATGTATTTTAAATGAAATGCACCACTTCTAAATGAAAGCTCAAATTAAAGATGCATAAAGTCAGACAAGATGCAAAATACTAGAATATATTTACACAATTTTAAAGATGTATTTTATTTTGTGTTAACAGTGAGTCAGCAGAGTGAATATTAGAAACGGTCACCTGAAGCCTGGAAACATCTCACCAATATGAAAAAGGCAAAAGGGCTGGGCCTGAGTTGATGACTTTTCAGATTTTTTATGTATTTGTCTTATTAGATGTGACATTTTAAAAAAAAGTGGTATTTAAATTAGTTTAGATTCTTTCCTTTTAAATTTCATCATTTGCACAAATGTTTTAGTTTTTGAACATTGTTTTTAAAACCTCACAACTTTGACAATTTTGCATCTCTCCCTTATAACTCCTCACTTCCTTTGGCATTGGTGTTATTCTGTTCTAGAAAACACATGAAATGTGTCTACGTACACTCACTATAAATATTTTGCACAACTAGCATGACTCGGCACAAATACTCACACTGGGTGGTGTCTGCTCTAGTACCGAATTGTTTGTTTTACACCTCTGAGCAGTGTTTGGTAGAGCTCAGTTATGCGGTGTAAGACGAATACAAATAAATAAATCAATGAGCACTTCAAATGTTGATTTTAAGGCAAAGCTACCTTTAGTAGCTTTGATGGAAACAAAATAGTAAATGTTCATTTTTCTGACAAAAAAAAGTGAAAAGTGAGGATGATGGTGCTGAATTAATTAAACACGTTTAAGCCCCATAGATGGGTCCAGTCTGACTGGATAATAAGTAGGGGCGTGGCTTCAGCTCAGCTACACCGCAGAGCAAAACAAGCGCTCCTCCTCACAGCTCAGCTGCTGAATCACAAGTGAATGGAGGTCTTGCTGCTCCAGGAGGATGGGGGAAACCAGACAGCTGTTCTTCCGACAAGTAGGACCTGTTTTCCTTTTCAGGGTGACTCTTATCAGGCAAATCTTAGGTTAATTTATGTTCCTGAGCACTTCGCTCTCAGACTGCAGGTTTACTGGTGGTTCCCAGAATATCTGTGGGAGGCAGATCTTTTAGCTATCAGTCTCCTCTTTTGTGGAACCAACTCCCAGCTTTAGTCTGTGAGGCAGACACCTTGTCTGCTTTTAAGATTAGGCTTAAAACATTTTTATTTGATAGGGCCTATGGTTAAAATCTGATGTTTGCCCAGATCTGGACAAGTGGGGGAGTAGAGGGAGGTGGCATGTACAGTCGGTAAAGACAGCTCTCCCTTGCCCTGCCTCCAACATGCATCCATCTAAAAGGCTAGGTTATCCAGAGTTATCTCTGTAGTTATGCTGCTATAGGCTTAGAATGCTGAGGATACACTGACCACTTTCCACACTCGACTACTTTCTTCTACAATTTGCTCTTTAACTGTATTATTTTCTGCTATTTCAGCTTTTAACTTTATTTTTTTCTCTAAGTGTTTTTCTCCCCAGAAGAAGCTACAATGATGTTCTGCTGAGCTGTGGTGCCCTCATGGAGGGGGCCATCAGCTTGAACGCTGTTGCTAACCATTTAATCATTCTCCCTCTCCTGATAATAACATTTAACTTTCTTTGACATTGAATGTGCTACTACTAGTTTACCCGTTTAATAATAGATTCACTAGGATACATACAATAAAGTTAATCTCTCACTAAATAGAATATTTACTAAGAAATCACATGTAACCATAGAAACGTATACTTGGTATATATGGTGTGTGTGTGTGTGTGTGTGTGTGTGTGTGTGTGTGTGTGTGTGTGTGTGTGTGTGTGTGTATGCGCGTGCGTGTGTGTGCGTTTGCGCTCTGTTTTCTCAATCCCAGTGAGTCGTGGAGGATGGCTGCTTATACTGAGCCAGGATCCTGTGGAGATTTCTTCCTGTTAAAAGGGAGTTTTCCTCTCCACTGTCGCTAAATGCTTGCTTAGTATGAGGATTGCTGTAAAGTCACTGACACTAGTCAGTGACTCGATGCAATTTGTTGGGTTCCTTATATAGGAAACTTATTTCTGATTGGCTTAATGTACTGACCTGTATTGGAATGTTTACCATGTAAAGTGCCTTGAGACGACTCTTGTCGTGATTTGGTGTTTTATAAAAGAGAGAAAGAAAAAAAAAGTCGCCATGTTTGAAACGTACCTATTCGCTTCAATTTACATTGGGTTGTTAGCCGTTAGCATACTGTACACCAAACCAAATGCGATCACGTAAAAAGTTCATTTTGGGGGAAACTAAGTAATTTGACCAATATTTAAGTCAGAAACCTCTTCCGTTTTGATAAATAAGTTTGGCTTCGTCTTGATATGTGACATATGAACGGTCATTGTATCATGACACTGCATTCATGTGAAACTTAATCGTAACCATGGTAACAGCGGTCAGGAGGGGTGACACGAATCAGTATCCAGATGCTTTTTCTGCAGCTTGTTCATTTTTATTCAGTTTGCACAGTATGTAAAATACCTGAATGTCACGTTAGGAAGTAAATATTTAGTATAAATTATTCTGACAAATATTAAAACACTAACAGGAAGCAAAGAAAAGAAACTACTCACATCCTGTACAGCATAACCAGCTGTTCCACATTCTCTTTTTACAATACAGTCACACACACACACTCTCTCTCTCTCTCTAGTGATCTGAGGATGATAATGAGGATGTGATGATCCATAAAGTGAGCTGAAAACTGATGCAGGTTTGTCACTCTTGTGCTCCCTTGTTTTTCCTGTTCAGCTGTTCGAGAAGGAAAGCTTCACCTACACCTACCTGCTGGCCGACAAAAGCACCAAAGAAGCCGTCATCATCGATCCTGTGCTGGAGACCGCAGACAGAGATGTGCAGCTTGTGAAAGAGCTGGGGTTCAAGCTCAAAACTGCTGGTAACCACGACTGAGTGACAAGAAAATGTGGATAAAAGCCACATTTCTATAATAATATCAGCCACTGTTGATTATGATATCCACTTATTTAGCAATTGTCTTACACTAATCAGTTTCGAAGAATTTAATTGGCTCAAATGATTTATACAAATCTACAAACGCCACATCCAAAATAACTGCATTTTTATTATATTTAAGCATGTTTATTTATTTTTTGTGGTAGTAAACACCCACTGCCATGCAGACCACATAACAGGCACGGGGGTTATGAAGAAAAAACTGGACACGATGAAGAGTGCCATCTCCAAGCACAGTGGTGCAAAAGCAGACATTCATTTGTCAGAGGGGGATAAGATCAACTTTGGACAATTTGTAAGCAATAAAAATAAAACATTTCAAGTCATTTCCGCTCTCGCTTGGGTTTTATTTTACTAGTAGATTTCTAAGTGTACAGAAATGTCAGTTAGTTGAAGATTCATTATTTGTGCAACTATTCTTCCTTGTTTCCAGTTTCTGTCAGTGAGGGAAACACCGGGACACACTGATGGGTGTATCACTCTGGTGTTGAATGATGAGAGCATGGCTTTCACCGGGGACACCCTGCTCATTAGAGGCTGTGGCAGGACAGACTTCCAGCAGGGTAGGAACATGTTTCAGCCTTCTCCTCAGAAGTGTGAATGCACAAAGTAAACACAAGAGGGCAGCATAACACCTGTTTAAATACCCTACTTCTCATTTTCTCCCAGCTTTATTACAATATTTTACACTTGGACTAAATTTTTGCGATTTTTTTATCACACAGTTACAAATTTAACCCATTGTCTTTTATTCAGGTTCCCCTGAAAAGCTCTACCAGTCAGTCCACTCAAAGATCTTCACCCTGCCTGCTGAGTGCATTCTTTATCCAGCACATGACTACGAGGGTCGGTGCAAAGCCACTCGCTCAGCTCCTGACATTTCTGTCCCATCTCATGGCTCTTAAAGTAGATTTTATGCTCCAGAATCAGGACTGTCAAGTGTATTTTTGGTACTTTTCAAGTTCAAATTAGTCACCACAAGTAGCCTAGGCATGTTTTTATCAGTTTGTAAACAAGATAAATAATTGCCCAGATTTAACACTGAATCTTAATCTTTATCATGTTGTTTTTGTGCATCAGGTCAGACGGCCACGACAGTCACCGAAGAGAGCACATACAACCCCCGCTTGACCAAGAGCTTGAAAGAGTTTGTGGACATCATGGACAACCTGAACCTTGCTCATCCAAAGAAAATTGGTATGAGAAATGTTACTGTACTAAAATCTCTTGACTAAAGGGAGGGTGACTAACAGTAGTCATAATATTATGGCTGATTTATGTAGATTTAAAGAGCTAGTTCACTGAAAAAATGCTTTTAATTGTTATTTTTAAGATATGATCGATCACTGTGAGTTTAACATGCAGGCTGAACACAAAATAGTTTTGTGCCTGTTTCCTGCATTAGCCGCCAAAAGAAAATAGACAATAGGCAAACACTCGGGTCAGAAGCCACAAAGATCTACGACACATTGTTGAATTAGCATTCACGAACTCATCCATCTTGGCTGGTGACGGGAAAGGCTGTTGTTGGTTTAGCGTCCAGGAAAGAGCAGAGCACTTCTCGGCTAGCAGAAGCTAACCATTAGCATTAGCAACTCCGCACCATAGCAGAACTCCTCCTGGCTTGTGTTATTCGTGGAGTGAAAACGTCTACGTTGCAGAGCAAACTGAGCCTGCCAAGTTCCGGTTCCCTCTCATCCAACTAACTTCTACTTCCTGAAACAGGAGCGCCAGAGCTTCTCCCCCCAGAGGTTGACTCACAAGGCATTTATTTACATTAGAGACAATTGCAAATTTATTGAAAAAAAGAAGAAGAGTGAACTTGGTCTTTAGGATGAAAATGACACAGCATCTTCTGAAACATGTTTTATTTTTCCTTTCCTGCTTTGCAGATGTTGCCGTGCCTTCTAATCTGCTATGTGGAATACAAGATCTCTGAATGTCCCGCAACAGAAAATATTCAAATGAATTAGATGCGATGATGTTAAACTCATTTTCATATCACATTTTTAGCTGGGATGAACAAAAAGGGCTTATTTTCATTTGGGTTTTCATAAAGGTGGCTACTTGAGGTTCATTATTGTTGTTTAAAAATGCACTTATGTCTGTTTTATTGTACAATGTTGAAATCTCTGCTTTGTTTTTAATGTGTTAAGTTAAATGTGAAGATGTGTTTTAACTGAATGTGTTGAAGTTATGAGAAAGCGTGCATGTTCATGCATCATTCAGCGACCTGCACATGAACCTGAACTGGTGTTTATCAACACATTCAGACCGGATTTAACTGGATTTTGTATATTTGTACTTCTCTACTGTCTTTATGAAAGTACTCTGAGATGACTTGGTAGTATTTTTTACTATATGAATAAAACTGGATTGAATTTACTAATGTTGAACTTGTGTCAGATTAAAAGTGTGAAAGACTTAATTTCCTTATTAAGAATAAAGGAAATAGTGGGCAAGAGTAAATGTAGGTGGGTGATTCCTCTTGTGCAAGTTGATACCTTAAACACACACACACACACACACACACACACACACACACACACACACACACACACACACACACACACACACACACACACACACACACACACACACACACACACACACACACACACACACACACACACACACACACACACACACACACACACACCCCATCTACCAGCTGTCTCTGTCAGCATTTGAGACAAACAATACAAGGCGCTACCATAGCTTAGCCACTGACAGACAACAGTGCATTTATAAAAACAGGAGTTGTGTGTGTGTGTGTGTGTGTGTGTGTGTGTGTGTGTGTGTGTGTGTGTGTGTGTGTGTTGTCACTCAGACTGAAGTTATGTTGGTTTCTGTGTAAAACTGATCTTTTTGTGTTGTTTTCTTTCTGATATGTAGTGTACCATCTGTCCTTTCACCCAGTCTAGTCGCCCATCTGCCAGCCCTTCTTTATTTCCCCGTCTCGCTCAGCACTGCACCACGGTGAAGCTGCTGCTCATTTTCTCTCACGCCATCCACATGTCACTGGAAAGAATCTATTGCAGCTATCAGCTCATTCACAAAAAGCTGTAAAGAGGCCGGTCGGGGTGATAAAGTCGGAGTGACGAAAGGCCGAGACACTCCCGTTATTTTCCTGCGACAGCGTTTCAAAGTCACAGTTCTGCGTGTTTCTATACAAGTTCACACATTCAGACAAAAATAATGTCATTTGGATTTTACAACATAAACTTATTTTAAATATAAAGGGACTTAAACTCGGTCTCAAAAACATGGATTATTTAATAGTACCCTGAATCTAGCCTGAAGGCAACTAAAGTCTAAAAAGTGCAAATGATTCAGTTTTACACGATTTAAAGGGCAAGTCACCCCTACCAGACTCTCCGTCCACTTCCTGTATGAAAAATGCAACAAATGCTGTTGCCTGGCAGACTGAGAGGGCGGAGCCACTAACAAATAAACACACACACGCACAGGCTCACATCAACGTTGTGACATAATGTACCAGCTAACATCATATGATGCTTACACATTAGTGTCGGCACGGTCGGGGTTTGGTCGCGAACGGGCGGTGCAGTGTTCACATATAAATCTGAGAAACTTCTCACGAATGCAGAAGTCCCCGAGCCTGTGGGCGGCGCTTAATACATGCGGGAAAGTCCGCGACGTCCTCCATTATAAGGTAAACAACAGCGGGCATGAGCTGTGTTGCTTTTGGAGACTCGGAACCACATAATTTTATTTATCTGCTGTGTGTCCTCATAATCTTGTGCCACACACACACACACACACTGATTTGTCCCCTGAGCAGCTGTCTGCTCGCTGGGGCAAGAGCGCGCACACACACACACACACACAGAGCTCTTCTCCCGTTCTCATCAGCAGCTCCGGAACAGCAGCTTCGTGCTGCAGACAGAAGTTTACTCGACAGCATCCAGCATGAAAATGAATCGCGCATGCAGGAACCCCCTGCTGGCTCATTCTTCTCGCAGATCGGAGGCAGTAGGCATAATTTCAGCCGGCCAATCAGTCAGTAGTGTCGCCTCGGTCCCAGTCTGACTGCGGGGGAGAATGTCTGAAAAAAAGAGTCGCCTCGGAACCAAAAACGCAAATCTGATCGGTGTGGCACCAAATTCTGGTCCCGAAAGGGACCAAACTGACGCTCACGTGTAAGTGCCAATAGAGTACCTCTTAGCCAATAGTGATGGCAGACTTAGATTCAAAAGCAGTGTTGAGTTTTTGGAGAATGGGGAGAAACCAGTGCACCTTTTCTCAGAACTAAAAGTTGCCCACATCACAGCTACCTGCCACTGCAATGTGGATGTTTTATCTCTGTGAATAACACAAGCCTGGAGGAGTTCTGCTGTGTGCTGGAGTTGCTAATGCTAACAGTTAGCTTTAACTAGCCAAGTTGTCTGCTGCTGTTTCCTGGACGTCAAACCAACAACAACCTTCCCTGTCGTGAGTCAGGATGGGTGAGTTCATGAATGCTAAATCACAGTATGACGTAGATCTGTGAGGATTTTCAAATTCTAGATTTTTACTGCCTATTTTCTCTCTGAAGCTCATAGAGGAGGTAGGTGTAGGTGACTATTTTCATGTTCAGCCAGCATGAAAAACTCAGATTGACTGAATATAAACAGAAAAAACAATAAAAATTGGGTTTTCATTCAACCACGCCCGTAAGAACACTGCGCTGGATGACTGAGAATCTACACAAACATATTTCTATCTTAACACGACTTACTTCAATTTTTTAAGTTATTTTGCACCTAAAAGGCTGCAAATAGTTATTTTGATGCTAGATTAGTTTGTTTTGTAATTAAAAAAAAGGCTGAAAATACTGAAAACTGACATGTTGAGATATGTTTTTTGATACTTTCATGAATATGCATTCCAGTTCTTTGATACATCGTGGAAATACGGGAAAACAGAAAAGCTGTCTCTTGGAAGCTGATATCAAAACGCTTTTAGAAGTCTTTGCTTTAAAACATAACGTAACTAGCGAAATACTCATTAGCTCTTCAGTGTTGCATGGTGTCTGGGTTCCTGCGAAGCAAAACAAATTCATACAAATGTGAAAATAATCTGGAGGATCTGGTTTTGCAGCTCTACATGTGTAGCAAAAAGAAACAGGAGTGTTTCTAATGAAGGTGTCCTTATAAAACACAAGAGATGGGTTATAATGCACAGCCATGATTCTGTGTACTTGTTTTATCAGCTTATGTGTACAAATGCCCCTTACATTTCACCTTTTTGTGCTCTTGTGGTCCACAGTCACATGATGGAGACCACATACCCACCTACTCTGCTGACACATAGGCTCTAAAGGATTTAGGATCTGGCAGCATAGCCGTGTCAGATGTGGCCTACAAACACCCGGTCCAGCATTAGGGAGCAGAATTATTCTAACTAAGGGTCAGTCGGAGTGCATTTTAGACCAAAGTGTAGTAAAATGTGCCAAAAGGTTGAAGCCCCCCGTGCAACTTTATTTCATAAACCTTCATGCTGTCAGTTGTGCACAGCATGGTTATGTTCATGTAATTCTATGGAAGAGCTTTAGTCTTCAGTTCCACTTTTTACAACACTGAGAGTTTAGCATTGCGTTGCCATTTTGGCAGAAATATGAAGAAATTCCTGTTAGACTTGACACCTGGATGCACCAGAAGTGCTGCTGTTGGAGATCCTTCAGCAGCCATAGGATTCAACAGCGACATTTTAGGATGGGGAGTTAAAATGTGAAGATAAAAATCTATGTTTTGTCTTTTTACCTCAACACTTTTTTTGTTTGTTGTCGTAGAATTAAACTCCCATGCAGATTAAAAGACAAAATTGATAGTGATGTGAAGTAATTCTATGTAAAGTACGAGACTAGCTGTTTTAAAACAGCAGCAGTACGCATGAGCAGGGGTGTCCAAAATACAGCTTGTGGGCCATTTGAAGCCCTTGCCTGCAACTCAAAGGTCTCCCTCCATTTGTCATTGCGTAGTTTTGGTCCATTCATAATTTCTACAAGCCTAGACATCTAGACAGGCAGGAGCCAAAGCAAAATGTGTTTGCTCTGCATGTCTGAAGCCACACTCCATAGGAGGCTCAGCGGGTCTACCATGGGCCTGAGCTGTATTTTGTTATGCCAATCACAGCGCTCCATCAGTTTAAAGGACGACATGATGCCATGGAGCAGAACAACTAAGATGGCGACAGCTCGTTTGAAACGGCTTTGGGGGGTGCCTCGGCCCCCAAAATGTCTTTATAATATAATATAATATAATATAATATAATATAATATAATATAATATAATATAATACAATATAATATAATATAATATAATAGGCAAGACTGCCAACTCCCATGCATTGAGCGTGAGACACACGCATTTGACCCTCTTCACATGCTCTCATGCCACACCTTCAATATCTCACGCTGGTCAATCAGTTCGGGGTCCCTCTGGGTGTGTAAGTTAAGGGCTTCCCCATAATTTGGGGTCAAATGTGACTTTGATGTGCTTTTAGCTTGGAACCATACTGAAGTGTGTACTAAAATGGGGGGAGGCAACCAACCCATTAGTAAAAGAAAGGGCTTGGTGAACCGAATTGAGCCGCGCTAGTGAGGAAGGTCTATGTTTCACCAAACTGAGGCTGTTCAGAGCATTATTATGTTTTTTTTTATAACTTCTAGAAATAAACTGGTGTTCAGAGACTTTGACCTAATTATCATAATCTTCCCACGGGAGCTTATGTTGATAATAACGGTCCTTAAACAATTGGCAGTAATTCCAGATGACTCAAACTTTGCGTAAACTGCGCCAGTTCCCAGAATAGAAGCACGTCAGAAGAATAGAATCCTCTCTGGAGCTCAGCAGAAACGGTGGGGCTTCAGCTGCAGACCTGTTGATGTTGGACGGTTCCACTCGGACGGCTGCTGAGTCCATATCCGCCTCTGTCGTCACCTTCCCCCGCCTGATTTCAGCTCCGCTCTCACCTGTTGACACCGACTAGCCGCTCACACCGACCCGACACCTCTAGTTCCTCTTCCGGCGAGGAATCAGCCCAAACCCGGCGGGATTTGGAGCCGGAGCAAAGGCGACAGAGCTGGGGAAGTCTTTGGTGCGTCTGCTTCGTAAACAGTTTCTGTAGAAGTTTCGCAGCAGCGACGCTTTTGTCTGTTATATGAACGCACAGAACCGCTTCTGCGTCCATGGGAGCGCGTTTTCCAGGTAAGACGTGTTTATTGTTCTTATTCAGTAAAAGTTTAGCACAAACGCTTCAGATGGTCCTAAAGCGTGAAATAAACAGGACAAATATGAATAAACTACTTATCTGCACATTCACGGTATAATAAAGTGATTTAAAAAAATACAATCAGCTTATTTAACTGATTTTTGCTCAATTTTCCATTTAATTTGCCTTTAATTTGTACAGTTTAGGATTTTCTTTTTATTTATGACAAAAACACTTACAGTTTCTTTTTTGTGTGAGTAATTTTTGTTTGTTTTAGTGTACAGAAATCACCCTTTTGTGTTTACAGACCTTGAGATTTTTGAGCATTTATCCCTCCATCAGCCCTCAGCAGGTAAACAGAGTGGGTGGGAGGGGGTAGGATTGGGAGGATTTGCTGTCTGAGACTTTTGCCTTTAGCCTTTTTTCAGTTCTCACGTAGACTACACATGTCTTACTTGTTTCTGAGCCACCATTGGACAAATCTGTGTCTGAGCCCTGGACTGTCATTAATGGATCACTCCTCTTTGCATCACAGTTCCCACAGATACCCTCGGACCAAAGGAAACTTTGTGAGTACAGTTAGTATCACAGTAGCAAGCTGGGAGCTGCAAGATTTCACACATCTTTGTTCAAGTCGTCATTGTTTCCAGCTTTGCTTTAAGTGCTTGTTTGTAGTTCTTATAATGGATGAAGAACAGTTTGGTAATGGTGCATTTATGGCCGATCACCTTGCAACAGCTAGTTCACTGTTTAGTTATTTTAGGTGAGAATGCCTTTGCAGTTATGTCACATATTTGTCATGTGGGAAATGAAAGATCAGGCAAGACATAAAAAGCAGAGAAATCAGCCCTATGCAACTGTTGTCATTGCAATATGGGTGCGTGCAATGTTAATTTAGCAAAAATCAGCTTGGATTGAAGTAAATTAATAGACCTGTTTACTCCCAAGTGACGCCATGTGGATTTGGTGGATTACTTCTTTTCTCTCTGTCTACACCTGGTTTAGATGGTATCAGAACACTAAAACATACAGGAAATGCTGACAGGGGTGTGTTGTAATTTAGTCATGATGGAAAACAAAGAGAGGAATTAAGATGATGTGGACTGCTTGCAACAACATGCAAGAAGAATTTTTTTTTTCTGATAGTGAGCATCAACTGACCTGATTTCGTAATATCAAAGAAAACCCCACGTTGCATGACCTCTACTGTGTGTAATGTCAATAAACCAGGTTTCACTCCAGTTTTTTATTTAACAATGTGAGTCTATTCAGGTGAGACTTTAAAGGAAGGGGGAAGAGGAAAAGATGATAAATGGTTTAGTAGCGCCTCTCATGTTGCTTCTTCGGTGCCGACAACAGCGAAACTAGGAGGATAACAACAAGCTGCCTTCCCTTAAACAAAGAGCTGATTCTTGTTTCAGCTCCACCTTTGCACATGCTTTATTTTTCTCCTTTGAAACTGGTTTTTTACCTCACCCAGAGCACCTTTTGGCATCGCCAAGAGAATGCACCTGAATGTGTTAGAGGGTCATAATTATGGGTTAAAGTTGAGAGAAGGAGGCTGACAGGTGACGTGTTGATTTACAGCCTTCAGTCGAACACGTCTTGTTGCTGCACGGCATTCCTTATCACTTACAGAGAAGAAGCCTCAGGATTTTTAATGTAAACTTTATACTGGTGGTAAAATGGAAGCGTGCCAAGTTCAGAAAGATGAGTTTGATTAGTTGGAAAAGACGTTACGTTGCAGGTTGGTGCATGAACGTGTAAATAGTCTCCTACCCCATTACCTGCATTAGCTTCTGATAAGAAATAGGGTGTTTCTCAATGCCAAGGAACCTTGCCTTGATGTCTTGGTCCCACCCCGGTTGCCTAGGAGATACGTCTGTCATCAGGTACCGCCAAGGCGTGTTCCAATGCACATGTTCTACTGAGGCATCTGTTCTCCGTTTGTTAGCCATTTAGCTAGCTGAGCAAGGATACAAGGGAGGTGTCTTGTAGCCTAGCCTTGGTCAAAAATTTCCCAGAATACACTGCGGTATTTTCAAAAGGATGGTGTATCAGAAGCCGGCAGCTACTTCGAGGGCAAATTTCAAGTTTAAATGTAACTAACCATAGCTATTGGGCTGATATCTGATGTCAGAACGGGATCTCCGGCTCTCACTGGAGCGTTTCGCTACTGAGTGTGAAGCAGCTGGGATGAGAATCAACTCCTCTAAATCCGAAACCGTGGTCTTGAGTCGGAAAAGGCTTAGAATGCCTTATCCGGGTCAGGGACGAGATTCTGCCCCAAGTGGATGAGTTTAAGTATCTCGGGGTCTTGTTCACGAGTGAGGGAAAGCTGGAGCATGAGATCAACAGGCGGATTGGTGCTGCGTCAAGCCGCAAGGCAAAACTCTTGATTTACCGGTCGATCTACGTTCCTATCCTCACCTATTGTCATGAGCTTTGGGTAGTGACCGAAAGAGTGAGATTGTGAATACAAGCGGCCGAAATGTGTTTTCTCCGTAGGGTGGCTGGGTTCTTCCTTAGAGATAAGGATGTGTAGGCGGGTGTGTAGATCCTCTGAGAGAAAGTGGAAAAAGGATGGCCTACAGGTCTCGCGTGAGTTGTTCAGAGCATCTCTGGTTGCTTATCAGGATGCTGTGAGGGCTGCCAGAATGGCCTACTTTGCAGACATCATTGAGACAAACTCCAATAATCCTAAGATTCTCTTCAAAACACTAAACTCAGTTCTGGTGTATCAGGAGCCTAGCTCCATGTCTCCTACAGCTGCTGGAAACTCTGAAGATTTTCACAGATTCTTTGTTGATAAAGTGTCGGGCATTAGAGCAGCTATTTCTGGTAACTCTGTTGACCCTGTTCCAGTTCCTCCATCACCACCCACCCTGAGCTCCCTCAATACAGTTTCATACTCTGAGCTGAGTAAGCTAGTTGTGAGGCAGAAGCCATCTGGCTCTCCACTTGATGTTCTGCCGCCTCGTCTCTGGAAGGCTGCCTTTCCGTGCCTTGGCCCTTCACTTGGTCAGATTATCAATGGGAGCCTCAGCACAGGTGTGGTCCCAGCAGCTTTGAAAGCAGCAGTTATTCGGCCGACCCTGAAGAAACCTGGTGCTGATGTCTCTGTGATCGAAAATTACAGGCCTATCTCTACCCTGCCTTTTACATCTAAACTGCTTGAGAAAGTCGTTTATCAGCAGCTGGTCTCACATTTAGCTGACTCTGATCTGTTTGAGGTTTTCCAATCAGGGTTCAGGTCTGGCCATAGCACAGAGTCGGCTCTACTGAGGGTCTTAAATGACATCTATCTTTCACTAGATCAGGGAACATCTGTGCTGCTTCTGTTATTAGACCTGACAGCAGCCTTCGACACAGTTGACCACGCGATTCTACTCGATCGCTTGGAACGATGGGTTGGGATCAAAGGGTCAGCTCTGGATTGGTTTAGATCATATCTCCACAACAGGACATTCTGTGTTAAACTGGGTGATGTTTTTTCTTCTTGGGAGGGGCTCTGCTGGGGGGTCCCGCAGGGGTCGATCCTTGGTCCACTTTTGTTTGCCATTTATCTGCTACCGCTGGGGTCAATCTTTCGTAAACATGGCCTATCATTCCATCTGTATGCTGACGATTGCCAGATTTACTCTCCATTGTGTCAGGAGAAAGGTCACTCTATCCAGTCCTTTGTCTCCTGTGTTAATGAGGTGAAGTCTTGGCTAATGTCCAACTATCTACATCTGAATGAGGGAAAGACAGAGCTCATTGTTTTTCACCCCAACAGCAGGAATGTGGATTGTTATGTTGATCTTGGCCCTCTTTCTCCATACTCAAAACCAGTTGTTACCAGTTTGGGGGTGAAACTTGATGCTGGACTTAAATTTGATGCTCACATCAATTCTGTGATCCGGTCCAGTTTCTTTCACCTGAGACGCCTTGCTAAAATCAAGCATATGCTGTCAAGAGCCCACCTGGAGCGGGTACTGCATGCCTTTGTTATTTCTCGGCTTGACTACTGCAACTCTCTATATGCAGGGTTGTGTCAGTCAACACTGCGTCGCCTACAGGTTGTGCAGAACAGCGCTGCCAGGTTCCTGACTAGGACCAGGAAACGGGACCACATCAGTCCAGTTCTGGCCTCCCTGCACTGGCTTCCGATTTGCTATCGCTCACAATTCAAAATACTCGTCTTTGTTTACCATTTCTTCCAGGGTAGTGCTCCCCCCTATCTAGCCACACTCCTGAAAAGACACTCCCCATCACGCGCTCTGCGCTCCTCTGACCAAGGCCTGCTCGCTGTCCCTCGGTCTAGGTGTCGTACCCGTGGGGACCGGGCTTTCTCAGTCCTAGCACCGTTACTCTGGAACCAGTTGCCACCCTCAGTTAGGCTGTCCCCTTCTCTGCCAGTCTTTAAGAATCACCTAAAAACACACCTCCTCCGCTTGGCGTTTCCAGAACATGTTTGATTTTGGCCCTCTATTATGTTGAATCCATTCCACAGTTTTCATTGGTACACTCAATCCATCCACTCAATCCAAATGTGTTTCACTCATTTGTCCTTTACCAGAATGGTTCATCTATCTTATAATTTCCATTTTGTATTTTGTAATTTGAATTTCTTTTTTTGTTGATTTTTTCACTATATTTGCTTGCAACTGTACCATGTTCAGGGCTTTGGGCTTCCTGACAGGGTTGCGGAAGGCGCTTTATAAATAAATCTTTGATTGATTGATTGATTGATTGATTGATAAGGTGAGAAGCTCGGTCATCCGGGAGGGGCTCGGAGTAGACCCGCTGCTCCTCCACATCGAGAGGAACCAGCTGAGGTGGCTCGGGCATCTGGTAAGGATGCCTCCTGGACGCCTCCCTGGTGAAGTTTTCCGAGCTCGTCCAACTGGGACAAGGCCTAAAGGAAGACCCAGAACTATGTTTCACGACTAGTCAGGAAATGCCTAAGGATTCCCCCAGAGGAGCTGGACCAAGTGGCTGGGGAGAGGGAAGT